CTAGAGGACAGGGGAACTAGTCCCATACTAAAGGGAATCGCTTACGGGCTTAAGGCAGCTCGGACAAGAAGGTATAGCTAAAACCCTAATCTTCATTCTAAGATATCATTTGCACCCGGCCTTCAAGAAAGGGGGCTGCATAGAAAGTTGGATGCCCAATCTCGTGGGGTCGAAGTACTTGCTTGACCTGATTTCTGACTTTCCTAAGGGAGGATGGGCAACTAGTGTGCTCTTTCTTTGGATGCATGTGAGTGCCGAGAGTTAAAGGGCTGTAGAGCCGATTTCAGTAGGATCTTAGAAGAGCCATCAGGCAATGGAAAGAAAAGGAATAGTTAATTATTTAAGGCGAAGAGGAAGTTCACTAAATAGTAGCTACAAGCGGAGCTCGGTGATTAGACGTAAGGATTGCTCCTTCTAGTGAGGCCTTGTCTTGTAGTAGAGTAAATAGTGCGCCCATCTTGTATCAGTTGCCACCCGCGGGTCTGGTCTGTACAGTTCGGTTCGGTTGGACTTGTTTACTGCTCGTTCTGTACCATCATGATCGTGGCAGCATGGCTGCTGAAACTAACCTTTATCAGGTAAAATGATAGAAGATTTAGAAGAAAAAAGAAAAGAGAACCTCCTCTTCGTAGCATAGCTACTCCTTCGTCGCTTCGCTACTTAGCAACGCAAGACCTTTTATGAATATCGGCTGGACCATGGACATCTTCCAATGCCGATTTGGCTACATTGAAGAGAAAGAGGGACGGACTGGTGCAGTTATTCATTCGTAGGGAATTCCTAATCTATGAGATCCTCGTTTAGGCTTGCCTCTCACCAATAAATGGGCTAAGCCCTGGGAAGAAAAGAGAGGCGGGGCTTTAGTTCGCCTAGATGCGCCTATAGTCAGTCACTATCACCTGGAATTCGAATAACGAACGAGTCCATCGAAATGATCCGATCCCCCTCGTCTCGCTAAGTGGCATTCCAATGAGACGATTTGTTCGCTATGAAATACCATGTTGGCTTTCATGTGATGCGGGAAATATATACTTTATGAGCTGGTCCCAGGGGATGTGCCATTTTTCGGATAGGTAGCTGAGTAAGCGATAGCTAAGAAGGGGACGAATTCTGCTTCACCGATAGATAGGGATCACCCGAATTTGTCCCTATTACTTGGGAAATCCTATCGTCGACTTATCTTATTCAATGTATTAATGAGTATACCTGAGTGCTGCTCCATTAGAAGGAGTTATCACTGGATGCTTCCCGTCGCCTTACCATGGGAATGAATGTGCACAGAGGGAGAGTTAACAGAACGCTACTCCGTCCCTTCGCTGCCCTGAGCAACATATAGTCTATTTTCCTTTCATAGCGGATATCGCCGGACTAAGGATAGAATAGTCTTTGTGGTTGCTCTCAGAAGGACTGTTAGGGTACCTTCGGCTTTCTTTGAAGCTGCTTCGCCCTGTGAGCCTGCTGAATGATCTGAAAGAAATGCCGATTTAGCCGAGAAAGGGTCTTTTCTATTGGACCCAACCGGGAAATCTATATCTCATTTGTACGACTCAGCTCCTTGAGCATTACTTCTTGGGCTTTGAATAGCCCCGCCCCTGTTCGTAACACCTTTGTAAAGGCACCCGAGACAACTGCTAGCTCATTTCCCGAGAGAGTTAGTCATATGGGTATGGAGAACGAACGGTGAACAAAACCCTTTCTCTCCCTGCAGAATACCTCTTGGAGTTTTTGAAAGGGAAGATAAGAGAATTTGGCCGATCAATATTGAGGGTCAGTAGTCTGTAAAGTCTGGATATTTCCTCTTAAAAAAACAGCATGTCTAGTTCTCAGAACCAAAACAGGGCATCCGGTTCTCATAGTCTTGATCATAGTATCTGGAAATTTATTTGGAAGCTAAAAACTCTTTTGTGTAGATGCTGTCGTAATGCATTACCTACTGCCATGGCTTTATATAAACGAAACTCTAAAGAATCTGGGGGCTCTTCCATTTGTGCACAGGGTTCAGATACTATTGACCATATTCTTCTTACCTGTGATTGGACTCGTGGAGTCTGGATAAGTCTTTGCGGGCTGATCATTGATATGCAGGGGATCTCTACTTTTGATAAATAGTTGGATCAGATTATGAGAATGTTGGAAGATTCTCAGGATGGGGAGAGACAGATGCTAACTAAGATTGCTTTTCTATGCGGGACCATCTCGAAAGTTAGATGTGAAGTAGTTATTCCTGAAGAAAGATTACAACCTCTTCAGGTAGTTCATAGGCTCCAGAAAGCCATTGTAGAATCTTAGTTAGACAATTTCATTGCTGATAAGAGACAAGTGCTCAAAAATGACCAGCAGGATAATCAGGGATCGATTAAACCTGAGTTGGGCAAGAGAAATGGGTTTTAGCAATATTGTCCTTGAAGGTGATGCTTTTAGTGTTATCCGAAAGATAAACTGTCAAAGCCTTGATTTCTCTCCAATTGGGGCCTATGTGGAAGAAGCAAAGAGCTTGAAGGTCTTATTTCAACATTGTTCCTTGCAGCATATTGGTAGAAACGGAAACTTAGTGTCTCATCTTTTAGCTCAACATGGATTATCTAGAATTTGTATGGATTGAGGACATGCCAGCTTAGCTGCATGATTCTCTAGAAACTGATTTTACTTTTTCTTAATCTAAATGAATAATCTGTTGGGTTCTCAAAAAAACAAAAAAAAAACTGGGTTGTACCTGTTCCGATTCAAAAATGACAAAAGAACCGGTCAGCAGCAGGAGCCCTAAAGAGTAAAGGGGCAGAAGCACTTGACCCTTGAGAGATGAACAGATTATTTTCTCTTATTTTTGAAAAATGGATATGTCCCTATGAGCGACTACGCCGATCTTTATATGTTTTGGCCACGCCCGTTTCCGCTCCGAAGAGGAAGGTTTGGATCTTTCAATCTTATGTCGTGAGGGATGTGACCTATGTTAGGTCCATAAGATACCACAGCTTTTAGTGTTCTATGATTCACCTCCGAATAATGAGTAGGTAGTTCAATCCTTTTGATTCTTCTCGTCATAGTAAACAGATGGGGGGATTCGGAGCAATAGGTCGAATTTCTATATAAATTTTTAGGTCTATATAAATTTTTCTCGTTTCTTCTCTTCGATAAGAATAGGGATTTGAAACGATACAAATTCCTCTTCATTCTGTTGTGCTCAGCGAAGGAACTGCCTAAGCATACTTTTTTGGATCCAAACTTCTTTGTTCTTGACAAGTCTTCTTTTTGCATAAAATAACGCAACCTTTTCAAAAACCGGGATTTTAGTAGTAAGCGGCGTCCCCTCTTATTTTTTAGTAGGTGGATTAGTAGTAAGCGGCGTCTCCTCTTATTTTTTAGTAGGATTTTCCTCCTGATTCTTCTCCACATTCTTACCGGTTTTTTTCGGCATTTTTTTTTATTCTTTTTTCAATTGCTATTTTTATGATTTTTTCAACTGATATTTCGATATGGAAAAATCTCCTTATTTCTTCACCGCGGATTCTCGCGTTATTTTCTTGAAAAGATATTATATCACCGTGGGAAAGTTTCAAATGATTAATTTTTACCATTTCATTATTCACACAAACCCTTCGATGATTTATCAGCTGCCTTGCTTGAGGAATAGTTTCACGAAAATGGAGACGAACCGGAATAACGTCCGATCTTGTTTCTGGATTGAGTGGAAAAGGGATATATGAAGCTCGTTCTGTTCCTCTGTGCATCTCTGTGATGGGTAAATCCCCATGAAAAAGGGGCAACTTTCGTGTAGTTTGTAATTGGATGTAACTGTTAAGATTTTTTCTCGGATAAATCTTTCTCTTAATATATCTCTTCTTGTTCCTCATCTTCGGAGAATGCGGCGTTGTATTATTGTAAGTTCTCTGTTCCGAACATTTCCTGAAAGTAGACGACAAGTTTTAAACATGTTCGCATATCTCGGTTTTCAGTCTTTTTCGCCACATCGCGTATAACGGGAATCGAACCCCCTCTGCTGCTAGCGGGCGGATGGAGAATGTTCTACTTCGATCCAGCAACTTGTTAGGGGTAGGTTTTGGCTTGCCCCTTTCTCTAATAATAAGGTATCCAAAGCTCCTTCCTTCTGCTGGTGCGCAGGAGCGAAAAACCGTTTTCCCCTTTCTAAAAAAAAGGGGGGTGTAATGAATAGAGATCTCCCGCCAGCAGTCTTTTCTTCCTATCACTTCACTTCGAGAGATCTGATCTCATCGGACCCCATCGGGCGGGGCGAAGGGGAAGGAAGGGATGGGTGGTCCGGAAACAGCAACGGGAGGTCTTGAAGAGCCTCTCCCTCTTCCCCACGCCTATTTGTTCTCCGGGCCCCGGAGAGATGCGGAACTCTTTTTTTTTTGAAGAAAAAGATGAATAGATAGGTCCATGATACATTCCGGAATATTGTAAAGGTAAATAGACTCTTTTCGTCCCCTTTTCGATGCCCGCCTGAGGACCTATGTGAATGTTTTGGAATGGGGCTGTTCGTCTTTTCTAACAAATAGACCCCCGACACGGCTTCCCGCTTTTCATGAATGTGTCTCTCCCTCTACTTATGTGAGTTTGACCCGCCTTTGACTCTGCTTGCTTCTGACTCCCTATGAGCCGTTTTACGACCTTTCTTTTTCGGAGAGTCGGCGGGGCATGGGAGCCTCAGCTCATGCATCGGTTTCCCGAAATTACCTCCGCTATCCCACTTTTCTTTCTATTCAATTAAGGCTCGCGTGGGGGCGCTCACGTTTTTTGGCTCTCTTCGCTCCACTAGCCTTGATTGGCGGATGGAAGTACCAAGGTGCGTCTGGTAGTATCGTATATAAGATCACGGCTGCATTTAGGAGTTTTCTTTCCCTTTTTTGATTTGGTGTATTTTTGGACGCCGCTATGCTAATTTAACCTAGGCTAGGCCATGGGGCGGGTAGCACATGAGGTAAGCGATAGCGAGGATTCCATCCAGCCCCAAGCGTACCTAAGGCTACCTTATTGCGTAGGATCGGCTCGGGCTTGTGATCCAGCATGGAAAAAACCCCATCAACCAGAGGAAGGTCTTGAAGAGCCTTCTTGGAAGGCCAAGAAACTTGCCATCGAGGTCTGTCGACTGCTCGATGTCTGTCCGAGGAGCTAGTCTTTCGGTGCCCGGGGTGGCCTCCTTTCAAGAACAGTCAAACCGGAAGAAAGCAGCGCTCGCCGCAAAGCGCAGCTCTCTGGATGTAGATGGAGCCGTTCCCCACCTATGTATAGCCCTGGTAAGAGGGGAAACTATACATCTTTTTTCTTTCGCGCGAGACAGAAGGACTTTTGGGATCGTGGTTCGGATGTCTAATCACCAGAAATGGGAAGATGGGCCGAAGACGAAACTAAAAATAACTTTCTCATAGCACGATGAAATTGTCCGACACTACGTTCCTCGACATAGCACAACGACTTGCCTTAGAGGGAAAGCTAAGCTGTGGGGATGGAGTTTCACGTGAGGACTTTTTTCACCACTCCTTACATGATACCACTAATCCAATCTATCTCAAAGCTTTGGGATGCAAGGCAAACAAGGTAGGAGGAGTCAGCCTTTATACTACTATAATGATATAATGACTAGTGTACGGTTCCTTTGTTTGAATGGGCAAGTGTAAGCGTTAGTGGGTGTGTTTTTTTGTAGATTATATATATTTCTATTTTATTAGTCTTAATGGACTCTCGCGACGGTACAACAACCTTCACTCTTCTATGTAGCGCGCACTATATTCACTACTTTACTGGCTTATTGATGACATTCTCTCCTGCCTGTCTTCTGGCCGTGGAGACAAAATAATCAAGAGTATAAGCTCGATTCGCCTTCACTTACACAATTTTTTGAGTTAGACCTAAACTAATATAGACTCAGAGAAAAAAAGAGTTCCGACTATCGAACTATCAGATCAAAGTAAGCTCTAAAACCTAACTTTCATTCATTTCTGTAGAGTCTGGGCTTAGAATAGAGGCTTATGCCGCGAAAAAGAGCTCACCCTTTCAAATTTTCTAT